AAAAGTAAGGAAAGGTTGGTTGTTTATCGCGTCTATGGCAACTATAACCAATCTATTAATGAGTAATTGAATTATCATTACATCGATGTTTAGTTGAATGAACCGTGTCTGAAAAGTTGCACCTTTGACTAGAGTCGTATCTGCTGTTGATTAATTCCTATTTATTTTCATTAGTTATTTCATTAGTTGGTTAATTAGTTGTTTTTATATTTTCATAAAATCCCCCATACTCTGAATTCTAGAAGAAACGAATTATCCCCAATCTCTGTGGATTCGACTCTACTTACCACTGTATACAAATTTTATACTTTATTTGAACAAATATTTATTATTGTACAGGCTCGACACCTGTCAATTTTTAAACTCGGACCGGACCGATCGGTTTGACTGATCAAACTGGGAACCAGCCAAGTGTCCGATCCGAGTTATCCTAAAAAACCGAATAGATAGAAACTCAGTCAAATCAGATAAAAAATCGGATTTGATCGGGTTTGACCCAAAAAACAAAAAGAACCGGAAGAACAGGTTTTGTTTCAAAGTTTTTTTTTTAAAAGGTCAAAGCATTTTCAATATTATGTTTTGACCCCTAGGTTGTTAAAAATTATTAATATACCTCAAATATTTCATACTTTATAAATGTTATCCTAAAGTTTGGTGTTATTTTTCAATCAAATCCATAATTTTAATTCTACACTTGTTAATGTTCATTGAATAATATAAATTGCTACTTGATCATTCTAATTTCTTTGTATTTTCTTGTTAAATATATTTGAAACATCAAATATATATGAATATACCTTTATTAATATTAGCATGCTCTTAGGTTTTTTACATACAATATTTTAATTTTAAATAATTTTATTTATGACGTCATCCAGTTCAATCTCAAATGAACCCAATCGAACCCATTGACTCATGAGCCCGACCAAGTCGATACCCGGTCCGAGTATGAAAACATAGCTTCCACCATTTCATACTCCTTCATGTCATGTTTTAGGTTAATTACTCAATTCATCGTGACTAATGCGCATTACAGAATTTTTGCCTCTAGGATTTGATTAAAGTGAAACAAATTCATCAGGGTATTTGTGTAAAAAAGAGGTTGAGACAGAAAAGCTCGCACGCATGAAAAATAAAGGGGAAAAGGGGACCAAAAGGCAAACCAGAAATATTTCAAGTCTTCGATAACTATACCTTGATTTGCATAACAAATGTGACAAATTAGAAACCGTATGAGCTGAAAAATAACAGAGCCACATATGAATATTTCAGTAGTGGACCAAATAAAAGACCACTTATAAGAACATTTGCTTTTGTAACGAATTAGGGAGCAAATTAATTTGAAAATGAAAGAACTAGAAATTGCCCATAATCATGTGAGTGTGAAAAACATTACCATGGAAACCATAATCGCTTAATCCAAATCATAAGAAAAGGAAGGGAAAAAAAGATTGTCTTATTTAAGACAATACATGAAAACAAGGATAAAAAGTAGATAAGATCCAAAATTAACAAAATAATTAGTAGATATTCAAAATGTTTCCTTTCTTAAAGAACACAATTACATTGCCCTGTTAGATAAAATGTTGATTAAGATTTTTTCAATTGGATTTTTCATACACTGAAGCTAATAAGACCTTTTTGCCAGCAAACTACATTACAGAGTTCAAGGTAAGTGCCAAAAGACAATTGCTTCTTTCCGCGAAGAAACTCCTTCATGTAGGAAAAACTTTCTGCTTTCACTACAAGTCACATTTTTTTTAGAATTTTCCCAGAGGAAACCACCACATTCTCTTGCATGATCGCATGCAGCCTCAAACACTTCCTGGTAGACAAACACACAAAGTCACAATAATGCCAAATCCAAGACCAACAAGAAAGAACCTTGGTTGTGAGAATAAGCTTGACGCTTACCCTAGAGGTAGAGGGGAACTCTTCAAAGAAATGTGCAGGTATCCTCTCTACCCGATTCAAATCTGATTCCCACAACCTTATCTATGGGATTTACATTCAATGGAACCAGGAAGCATGAAACGTCAAAAAAAGAAGCAACAAGTATGGATGTAAAACATATCAGACTGAAATGCCACAAAGATAGAAGAACCTGATCAGTGGCATTCTCAGGCACAGAAGCTGAGCTGTTCTTTTTGCAACTCGAGGATGTGCATTCTGTTGAAGAAAAGAAATAATCAGCAATACCGCAACAAAAAACTAGTTTTAAAACTTGGACCGTTAATTGAACCGGTGAGGTGTTCGAGTCAAGGTTCAACCGATCGGACCGGTTCAACCCTGGTTTAATGATTTTTTTTTTAAAAATAATTTATATAAATATATATATGCACAAAATAAGACATGCAATGGACTAATTTAAAACTTTATATGATGAAAAGTTTAATACTTTCGAAGAACTTGGATTTTCAAAAATAAAATTTTTAAAATATAAGTTGAAACAAATAAAATTCATCTCAATCTCAATTATATCTACCACAATATTTCAAAATTATACAAAATTCATGTCTATGGGAATTAGACATTGTGACTTTAAATTTAATTCACGTCTATGAGATTTAGAGATTGCAACTTAAAAAAAAAAAAGAAGTTTGGAGTTTGAAGGAAGTCAGAAGAATCGAAAATAGAGATGTAAACTTGATAAGAAACAAAAAATGAGATGAAAGTGAGTGGTTGTGGTATTTAATAATTAATCTTTAGGGTTAAAAAAATAATTATTTTTTTTAAAAAAATTCAATTTAATAGACAAAAACAAAATTAAAAGATGGAAGAAAACATCAATAAACTAAAACTAAAGAGGTTTGATTAAAAAGGGGATGACAAAAGAAAAGAGGAGAGAGAGAGAGAGTTGAAGATTATAAAAAAAGAGTCATGGATGAGATTTTATAGGGTGGATGCTTGTTTTATATAAATGTATTATCAAAAGAGACTACTAGGATGTGATGATGCAATAGTTACTATGTTGGCTTTCTATCGCAAATGTAGTTCAATCTTTGGTAGCTACATTTTGCAAAACTTAAAAAATATTGAGGGAAAAATTGAAAAATTGGAAATCACATGTCTTGATCAGTTTTTTGACAAGATCAACTTTAGTATAGAACCAGACCGGTATCATGGCCGGTTCGCAGTTCAACCGATCGAACTGGCTGGTCCGATTCAATTTTCAAAACATTGCAAAAAAGTAGAATGATTTTCGGAGATAAAAGATAATGCTGCATGACGTTATAGTCAATTAGTAAATTGACCATCTAATCTTAAAAAAAATAATTAAAAAAGGGGACATATTACATAATTAACTGTCTAGCTACAGAATTAACTAAATCCTATGCAAGCTACATCCCTCGCTAAACATTTAGAGACCGATCATGAGATCATATATTAAGGGTTATAAAAGACTCTTCAGATGGCTAGCAAGCTAGGAAATTTAAGGGTTATATGTAGTTTCGGTCATTTTTGCATACATAGTAAGCAGAGCAACCACGAATGAAGGCCAAAAACTGTACTCCAACCTCTGCATTTGGTCAAGATCTAAACTTCAATGTAGCTCAAACTTGTGGGAGTACGTTTCTAGATATAGCCGGTCTCAACAGACTTGTTTCAACTTGGTACAACATAACATAATTATCTACACTGCTCTACAAAATATCCTTGTGAATAGTTTGATCACTTACAAAAGCATTTCTCATGAGAAGACATAAACTATACACATAAAACTGTTTGAAAAAAAAAACTCTATTTTCATCAAGAATATTGAGTATATCTTTTATCTTTTCTTCCTCAATGATATGATTTCAAGAAACTTAAGCAAGCACTGTAACTTCACACCTTGAGAATAGACGTAAGATTTCACAGTGCAATTTGGAAGATGAATATGCATACATCCTGAAATTTGTCTCTACAACAACATATCCCTGATAGGAGTAAAATTGAATAATAATCAGTCAAAAAATCTGTCTGCTATTTCATCGAAGTCAACTGAGAAGCTATGACATATATTAAGTTAGCTGAAGAAATGTACAACCAAATCCACGTTCAGAGGAAGTTCCTTTGAAATGTCCAGTCCAATCAATGATAAGCACAATTTTTTTTTTAAGAACACAGATAATTGGGAGTATCGGCTGGACAGCATGGTAAACAAACAAAGTTCTAGAATCCTGCAGATAGGCTGGAATTACCTGTTTCCTGGATGATGTATCTGATAAGCTGTGATAGATAGATTTGTAGCCAACTTTGTGGGGATAAACCAACTCTCCTTTCTTCCCTGATGAAGAGCCAAAACACAATTAAGAACTGCAGGTGGAGCAAAAATTCTAGAAGACAAGCATTTGAAACACCCAATAAGTGCAACTAAAGTTTACCTGCTGAAGCTTCACAAGGTCCAAATCAGCAAGATCCCTAATTATAGTCCTCTGTATATCACTCAATGTATTTATATTATATGCCTACATTCAGAACTGGATCAAATCAAATCATGATAAATATACTGACAAGTTAAAAATATTTCAGGGGATAAAAAGTGAGGCCAAAATCATGTCCATGCCAAAAATCAGTGATGGAACCAATATAGTTTCCCAACCCCTTTGAATAATTAGTAGCTGATCAAGCAATAGAACTTGATGAAACCCAACTTTCTTCTCGTTTCCCTTTTATTTTTCTCTTATTGGTGCAAGCAAGGTTCACTCCAATGTCACAAGTAGCAAAAGATAATCACTACTTTTTGTCCTTGCATGGATGTTAAAAGGATCACCCTGGAAGCACAAAACTATGGTTCAAGATAATACGGTTTACAGTTTATTGTGGATTTGCACTTCATTGGGTGTGGTGATTGGCATAGATGTTTCTAGGGTCAGGGATGGGAAAAAAAATCAAAGGAAAAAAGAAAGAAATAAATAAAAAATCATCCTAATCATTTTTGTTTCACCAAATCTACTATTTTTACACTCAATTCCCCATTCATCTTTCTTTTTCATTTTGCTACAAAATTCACCATTTTTGGCCAACCAAAACTCTCACAACTCACTCTCTGCACTCTCTCTTTTTCTTTCAAGATAAAACACACAAGACTGACAAAACTCGCTCCATTCTCTCGGTTCTCTCCACTTCTCCCCTCAACTCACAGACACTAAAAAAGAAATTCTCACTCAACTTTCGGCCTCTCCTCTCTTTCTCAATTTCTCACACACTACACACATTCTCCTCAACTCCCCCAAAAATCTCTTCGTCTTTCTCTTAATAGCACACAACAATCGTACACACATACAACTCCCTATCTCAGCTCTCTTGCTCTCTGTCTCTCAAAAAAAAAAAAAAAAAAAAAGGGCAGAAGAACAAGGAAGATTTGTTACTGCTGTTGAAGTCGCCATTGTCGGAGTATGGTCACGGGCTTCTTCAATAAATTTGCACACTAGAATTCAAAGGCTATTAAGCCAGTTAAGGTACTCTTTTCATTTTTCCCTTATGTAAATGTGGCCACTTGCTTTCTGTGATTAAAAGTTAAATATTGAGGGCTCTGTGAACAGGAGTAGACGGTTAATATTTTTCCTTTCTTTTTCTTTGTGGTAATAGGTATACTGGTTGTTGGTAAAATTTGGGAGTTCAAATCTGTCCGAGTTTCATGAACTGAGTGAACCAAAATCTTGCATTCCAAATGTTTGAAAAAATGCCTAAATGAAAAATTGAATTAAATTGGGTTGTTTTTTGTCCATTTAAGGTCATAGTTATATTGTAGAAATCACAAGGAGTGTTTTGGTATGACTTTTATGAATTTTGGTGAAGATTTTAGTGATGTTTAAAAATAAAACCGTGCCTGCATTTTGCCATTTTGACCCCCTTTCGTGCATTTTTTTTGAAAAATCAAACTCGGAAACGGACTCCACGCAAAAAATCGAGTGGAGAGATATATTTTGATGAGTTTTTGTAATCGAAGAGACCGTCGCCGGTCGCCGGCGTCTGCCATGGATGTCGGCTACCCGAACTTTAGTCCACCGGAGAAGAAGAAAGAAGAAGAAAAGAGAGAGAGAGAGAGAGAGAAGAAAGAAAAAGGAAGGAAAAAAAAAGTTGGGCTGGTTTTTTTTTTTTCTGGTGAGTTTGTGTTTGTTTTTTGTTGCGCTTGTGGCTGGACTTTTGGAGCTAAGCCCAAAGTTTCCATTCTATTTAAGTTTCCATTATTGTTTGAACTTGCTTGGTTTTTTCATGAATTAGCCTGTATTTTTTGTTTTGGTGTAGAGTAATCCCGCCCAAGTAGGGATGGCAATGGGGGCGGGTGCCCGCGGGGGCTCTCGGGGCGGGGGCGGGGGCGGGGGGAATTTTTTCCCCCCGCTTAGAAACGGGCCGGGGGGTGGGGGAGTATACCCCCGCCCCGCCACCCGCAAAAAAAAAATAAAAAAAAATATATATATATAAATATATGTATAATTATATATAATATGTAAGTTAATTAGTTATAAACTTATGATAATGATATTATTAGTTAGATGTATTATATAATGTATATTAGTTTATGTAATATAATTGATATTATCAATTATATGAATAATTATACATGTCTACTAATAAAATTTATTAATTAGTTATACTAAATTTACTAATACATTTATACTAAATTTCTAATTACACTTAATAGAATAACACTTTTTTCTCAAAAAAAAGCACAAAAACAATAATGAATTAGTGATTGCATTTGTACTAAAAGTGAAAACTTGATTATTTTAATTATATTTATTTTATCATATTGGATTGTATTCAAATAACTTCTGTTTGATTGTTTTTATGAGTTTCAATTGTAAAATTACAATGAATAATAATTTGGTGATGTGTTGATATTTTAGTACTTGATTATTTATTAAAATTTAATTATAATAAAATTATATAATAAAATTTTTTTAGCACCCGCGGGGGAAGCGGGGCAAGGCGGGGCGGGGGACGGGGGGAACTAATAGGCAACGGGGCGGGCTCCCCCGCCCCCCGCCCCGTTGTCATCCCTACGCCCAAGTGCTAAGATGATGGCTCAATTTTGTTTCTAGATTTTGGCCTAAAATTATACTTCTTTGGTTCCATTTATTTAGTCATGTTTGGGGAATTTAATTTTTTAAGAATAGTGATTTGATTGTGATATTTGTACTTCTCTTTTCAATATTTGTCCTATAAATTCAAAATTTAAATTTGAATGGTAACATGCTTATGATTAGAAATAAGAGTTACTCTCTCGGTCCCATTCATTTGATTATACTTTTTATTTTGGGATGTCCCATTCATTTTGTCATGTTAGAAAAGTCAAAGCAACATTTACACTCTTTTTCCAATATAACTCTTCTTTTTAATCATACATTCAAATTTAAAATTTGAATTTGAGGGGGTAAAATTGAAAAGAGAAGCACAAACATCACAATTAAACAACTATTATTAAAAAGTTAGATTCCCCTAACATAACAATTCTTAAAAAGTTGGATTCTCCAAACATCACAATAACCAATTGTGATTTGACTTTTCTAACATGACAATTGTTTTGAAACCTCCCAAAATGAAAAGTATGATATTTTTAATGGAATGGAGGGAGTATTGTTTATATTGAGTCCAAATCAGAAACCGAATTTTGTAACAAGTCCTCAAATCTTTTGAGTAAGTTTACTGTGGTCTAAAAAATTTTAAATTTCATTCATTTAGGCCCCTAATTTAATTACATTTTGGCCCCTAAACTTTATCTTTGTTTAATTTTGACCCATAATATTTTGAAAAAATATTTTGACCCCAAAAATTTTCTAATTTTTACAATTTAGTCCCTAATAGTTTTTTATTTTTAAATTATAATTGTTCCAGTCCTTTAGTTGTTAATTGTGCTTCTTTTGCATGCATTTAATTGTAAATGTTGAGTGTTTTGAGTTTATTTACATTTTTAACATAATAATGTGAATCTAGTACTTATTATTATTATTTTTAAGTAAATTGGTACCATGCTCTTTTTGTTAATTTTGACTATAGATAGGGCGATTTTACCTCATTTAGTCACCATTTTAAAAGGGAGATACCTTTATTACCCTTTAAATTTTGATTATCTATTCTTATCTACTCCTACATGCTCCTGTATATTTATATGTTTTTACATGTTTTTTATTATTTATTTAATTAAAATGCTTATTCAAATTTTTAATGTTTGTTTGGTTAATTTTGTAATTATTTGGGAGGTACTTAAATGCCTCAAAATGTAATAGATAAGTAATATTTTTATTTATTTTTACAAAAATTGTAATTAGATAGACAAATGTAATAGATAGGATAGATAGATTTATTTTATTATATATTTTTTTCATTTTAGATTGTAGTTAAATCCCCACTATAATAGATAGGTCTTGTGTGTTTATGTGACTTATGTGCTTATATGTTTTTTTGACTTTTTTTTAGGATTTTTGCATCTAACTATTATACTTATGTGTTTCATGCTATGTGCTCTTATATGTTTAGCTGTTTTAATTTATGTTTTATTTGTTTTATTATGTATTATGAATGCATGATGTCATCACAATAGTCCCAACGTTAGTTGTGGTTTCTCCCTCCACTTCCCTACTAGTCCAATGCTAATGAGAATTTCTAAAATGGGGTTAGTCCAACACTAGACCTTAGACTGTCTACACGTTAGATTCATCCCTTATGGGTCATTCATTGCATTTTCATGCATTTTTTCTATTTTAGGCTATTTTTCTCATTTGCATGATATTTCCTCTTATATTATTTCCTTACCCTCTATATGCGTGAACCATATCATTTAGATTCATATTTCATTTAGAAAATTAGAAGAAATAAGCTAGTTCATCTGTTTGCTTAGATTAGAGGGTCACTTTTCGAATATGGAAAATGGGTGATTATAGCTCTTTAACTTAATATCCCATTAACCTTTTTTTAAGAAAATTATGTTACGAGTTTTTGTCTTTCGTACTCGTTATATTGCATCCCAATCTTTTGGTCGTGTATAATTCTATATATACATTATAAATCTTATTTCTTTTGAGTCCTATTTTTGCATATTTGTGACCCCTTAAAGGAATTATTTTGGATTTCACAATTAATGCGATTGGTACCAATTAAACCTTAAATGGACATTTTACTCCTTTTGATATCTTCTTTAAATTTAGGTTTGCATCTATATAAGAAACATCCAAACGTGATAAATTTAAGGATTAGATTAGGAAAATTTTGACTAAATCTCACAACTAATTTAGACTAAATTGAAAGGGTGCCTCATATTTGAACCAATTGAACCTTTGCCTTCCTTTTCTTCAACCGTGATTCTCAAACTCTTTTTCTCTTGTTTTTTAAGGCCTGAAATTGTTGAAAAGGATTTTATTTTATTTTTTATTTTATTAAAAAAATTTTTGGGTGACTTGGTACACCTAAACTCTATACTAAATGGTGACTTCTAGTTTCTTAAAAACCCTTTTTAGACTAAATTTTGGGTCCAAATTGTTGCAGTCTTAAAGTCCCATTTTAGGCTTTTTTTGCACATATTTTTAAATGAAAAAACACATCTTTTTGTAAATAAACCACTTCATCGTGAAAAATGGGGCACAACAAGTTTTTTTTCTTTTTTTTTTTGCATCATGGCTTATGGTTACAACTATTGGATTTCGTCTGTGGTAGATCCTTATCCCTGAAATGAGAAAACCCTTTTATTCATTTTAAGCTTGTAATGCCAATCTATCCATCTACTTTCTCATTTCAACCAGCAGTTGCTGCTATTCCTCCACTTTCCAATTGCTCTCTGAAATCCATCAGTCGTTTGAACTCAAAACAAGGTATCAGACATTCAGGTTTATCTTTCTGTCTTGCTCTCTCTGACACGTGCACACAGATATTCGCCCATGTGAACTACTGCCCTTCCTTTTGAGTCCTCCAAACAGATGAGTTTGGACAAATCTAGAACCATAGAGCCATTATAAACCCTATAATCCCAAATTTGTATACTATTGTACAGAAAAGTATGAGCATGTCAAAAAAATCATTGGATGTATTAGCGTGTCAAAGATTTAAGATATAAAATATCAATATACTTATGTGAATAGGTGGTATTAGCATGAACTTGAAAGGGACTATAAGTTGCTGGTGCAGTCAAAATCCCAATGCATTACCTGCGGACACTATGAGCTTCTATTATACGTGACAGTGTTCTGCACAGGAGCTTAATTATGACGCATCTAGTGCTACTGCCTCAAATTCTTTAAGGATAAGATCTTTGTTGTTAGATTCAAAAAAAAAAAAAAAAAAAAAGAAAAGATCTTTTGTTGTTACTTTTAGAATTGAAATTATGTTCAGCATTTCTAATAGGTATGTTTGTTGTTCTACTGTATGTCCTGTTGAATATGACAATACAGAGTCGCATCAGCAAGCTGCTCAGTATCCTCATGCAAATAAGCTAAAAAGCATGCAGGATGTTTATGCTAAAACTAACCCCATATGTCAACATTTTCAGCCTGGCCAGATGTCAGAAAGCAGAGGTGAACCCAAGGAAAGAATAGATGTTGTTGATGCTGGTATATTTTTCACTCTGCCATACTTAGAATTTTGATTTTGTTAATTGTTAATTGTTAATATTCCAACTAAAAAGATCTAGTTCTTCTATTCTTCTATGACAAGGGATTACGAGTCTCTTTTTGGTTCAACTTGTTGGTCTTACAGATACCATATTGACTGCATTCTGAGATATTCTCTGAAATCTAAACAGAAAATCCGAGTAAGAAGAAGTAGAGGTAAAAAGATTTAAAGATGATAGAGACATTTCTGTAATGAACGAAGAATCATTTGATCACAATGATTTGTGTATAGAAAATAGGAAAGAAACAAATACAAAATAAATTAACTATCTATTTCTATTATTTCACTGCCGTGAGACCATATGATTTCAAGCTCATTTAAAATCATCTTAATGGAATTGAAGGAGTGAATTCATATGATAGCCTCCCTCAATCACACTTTCCTTTTGTAAAGTTTACTTGGTTACCTTTTTGTAAAGTGTTGATATTAAAGTATGATCTATATACTGTTGTACAGATATAGAACCATTATAAACCCTATAATCCCAAATCTGTATGCTATTGTACAGAAAAGTATGACCATGTCAAAAAATTCATTGGATGTATTAGCATGCCAAAGATTTAAGATATAAGATATCAATATACTTATGTGAATGGGTGGTATATGCATGAACTTGAAAGGGACTATAAGTTGCTCGTGCAGCCAAAATCCCAATACATTACCTGCGGATACTATGAGCTTCTATTGTATGTGACAGTGTTCTGCACAGGAGCTTAATTATGATGCATCTAGTGCTACTATCTCAAATTCTTTAAGGATAAGATCTTTTGTTGTTAGATTCAAAAAAAAAAAAGAAAAAGAAAAGATCTTTTGTTGTTACTTTCAGAATTGAAATTATGTTCAGCATTTCTGATTGGTAAGTTTATTGTTCTACATTAGGTCCTGTTGAATATGACAATACAGAGTTGCATCAGCAAGCTGCTCAGTATCCTCGCCCAAATAAGTTAAAAAGCATGCAGGAAATTTATGCTAAAACTAACCTCATATGTCAACATTTTCAGCCTGGCCAGATGTCAGAAAGCAGAGGTGAACCCAAGGAAATAACAGATGTTGTTGATACTGGTATATTTTTCACTCTGCCATGCTTAGAATTTTGATTTTGTTAATTGTTAATTGTTAATATTCCAACTAAAAAGATCTAGTTCTTCTATTCTTCTATGACAAGGGATTACAAGTCTCTTTTTGGTTCACCTTGTTGGTCTTACAGATACCATGTTGACTGCATTCTGAGATATTTTCTGAAATCTAAACAGAAAATCCGAGTAAGAAGATGTAGAGGTAAAAGATTTAAAGATGACAGAGACATTTCTGTAATGAACAAAGAATCACTTGATCATAATGATTTGTGTATAAAAATAGGAAAGAAACAAATATAAAATAAATTAACTATCTAGTTCTATTATTTCAATGCCATGAGACCATATGATTTCAAGCTCATTTAAAATCATCTTAATGGAATTGAAGGAGTGAATTCATATGATAGCCTCCCTCAATCACAATTTCCTTTTGTAAAGTTTACTTGGTTACCTTTTTGTAAAGTGTTGATATTAAAGTATGATCTGCTGATAATTGATAACAGTAGTTGGCATAACAAGTCAATTGCAAATTATCTTGGATGCATGAGAAACAAACCACAGTAATTCGTGTGTTTTGTCAATGGTGGAGATCATGAAGAAGGTGTGACCTCCAGACACCCAAGAAAGAACCAAATCAAGTCATATCACTATTCAACGAGAAATAGAAAAAGCAAAGCTTTAATTGATACAGCTGATTCTGATGTTAGCCCCCCACTCCAAGTTTGTGGGAAACTTCAGGGACCAGTAGAGTCTGATCATTCAAGTGCTGAAGAAGAAATTAAAATTGTTGGAGAGTCTTTTATTGAGGACGACTTCAATGCCTATCCTCTTCGAACTAGAAGCAGGAGAAGCAGAAGAATGGTCAATAGAAGTGGTTCTGAAGTTACTATTCCAAGAAAAAGAGTTCGACGGCAACCAAGGAGACCCCTGAATTTCAGCACTTCAATCACATCGGAAGGAGTTTTAAGCTCCAGGCAGTTTTATCGCTACATGGAGTAAGTTTTCTAGTTTGATGTTTTTAAAGTTGTACTATGATCCTATTTCAAAACCTTACTTGTGTTAAAAGCATTGCATTATGCAGCCACATATGGAGTGAGGTTTCTGCAGAGAAGCAAAACTCAATTGCATACATGGATTGCTTGTGGTTTAACACATACGCAGAAAGTAAATGGAAGGAAAAGGTGTTAAAATGGATAGAGAGGGAAGATATATTTTCAAAAAAATATGTTCTGGTTCCCATTGTTCTGTGGTAGGTCTCTTATATTATGCAACTGGTTTAGTTAGTTAACATCTTTTCTTTCGGAGTATCTTGTTCATCGAGATTGTACTTGTCAGGTCTCATTGGAATCTCCTGATCTTCTGCCATTTCGGTGAAAGCCTGAAATCAGAAAGCATAACTCCCTGCATGATATTGTTGGATTCGCTGCACATGGCAGATCCTAAGAGGCTTGAACCTTTAATTAGAAAGTATTTGATCAACCAATTACCTGTTTTATTATTGGTCTCAAAAAGTAGGCGGTGTCTTATTTTATCTCATAATGCTCTGTTGTTTTTCTCCTTCATAGGTTTGTTATGGACATATATAAAAATGAGAAGAGGCCAGAAACCAAAGAATTGATTCGTAAAATTCCTCTTTTGGTTCCTAGTGTGAGTTACAATTAATCATCAGCTTATTTCAATTTTTAGTTGGATTCTTATACTGAAAAAGACGCAATGATTATGTTTTTTTCTTTTTATTCCCAGATTCCTCAGCAGATAGATGATAAAAAATGCGGGTATTTTGTCCTTTACTATATTTATTTGTTCATAAAGAATGCTCCTGAGAAGTTTGGCATTGACGAGGGCTACCCTTACTTTGTGAGTCAAATTCGTGTCTTTTTGAAGAAAAAAATATCTTTTACCTGTATAACAATTGGTATTTTCTCTCATACATTATATAGATGACAGAAGACTGGTTCACTCTTGAAGAGCTCGATGGCTTCTGTAGAACACTCGAATCAGTTCGGGTCGACACTACTAGCTCAGATGAATAGATTGTACAGGTTTATTGTGTAGCAGTCTGTAATATAGGTTGCATCCAGGACTCTTGAAGAAGTAGCAGTGTAAGCAGAAAAAACAATGGTTGTGATTAGTGATAATCAACAAAGGGCCTCTTCGGGGCTACATGTTATGAGCGGCAAACTTGATTGTTACATTCTGGAAACTCATTTCAGTTTTCGCTTGGGTTCTTTCTTTTAAACAGAAAATAGGTTTTTTGTTTTTCTTGTGCTTAATAAACCTGTATTGTCAAGTTTTCTTTGTACTTAATCAACTGTTGATAAGTTTTCTTGTACTCATTTCAGATTTCTTTGTACAAGTTTTCAGATTTCTTGTACTCATTTCTTTGTAATTAATCAACTATTGACAAATTTTCTTTGTACTTAATCAACCATTGATAAGTTTTCTTGTACTCATTTCAGATTTCTTCTCTTTGCTTTTATAAGACTTGTGCGGTCATGTTGCATTTCTCCAACCACCCCGTCTATTCGAATTACTGCATGTGCATGTTTTTTTTCCTTTGGCCCTGAGTGAGAGGGGCTATTTGACAGTTATTTTACTGCAACTCTCTGTTTTGTCACGTAAATTGTGTAGACTTTTGATTTGAGGAGATTGATGGGCTAACAAATTTTCTTCATGTTACACCTCGAGTTAAAATAGCTTTAAAAACAAAACCCAGAACTCTGATCCAACCAAACCAAACCAAACCAAACCAAACACTTGAATTTGATCTATCATACTTTCTGGTAAATGTTTCACATCAGTAAAAGCCCCATCTGTAAAAGTTCTATCCTTCTTACAGCCACTAACAATTCCTATGTCTTTTAAGCAACCATCACAAAACAAAATTACGACTGCATGTCCTCATATTTCCAACAACTTAGATAGCAAAGCAAGCTATTATGCACAAATTTTTTTTCACAATTAATCCAAAAGAAAGGTAAAAGGGGTACCAAATCCGGATTTTCGACCCTAGTTTGATCATTTGATGTACTACAAACAAATACATGGAATTCAATCTTCAGCTGCTACAGCGGATGTTCCTCTCCCAACCCTGCCATGAGTTCCAGCATCTTGTGCAGTTGATTTATACTTGTACCATGAAGCCCAAAAGAGATAGTTAGCAAAGTTGAGTAAGCTTAGGATGGCTAAAAACCAGTAAAAAAGCTCCAACTTATTGTGGTTCAAATCTGGTGCCTCTAACCATCCTTGTTTGCTTGGAGTCACCTTCTTGGTTACAATATTCACAAGATTGACAAAGGCAGTACTTAAAAAGTATCCCAATGAGAGTGATAAGAGTGCAAATGAAGTGGAAAGAGATCTCATCCATTTGGGAGCCTCCCTGTAGAAGAACTCCATTAGTCCGATCACTGTGAACATGTCAGCAACGCCAAAGACTCCATATTGGAAAGACAGCCAGAAAAGACTTATAGGATGCAATGGGTCCTTTATTGCTTTATGTCTTCTTTTGATCTCAACCATTCCTGCAATGGCCATTGAGATGATGGCAAGTACAAGACCGATGCCTACACGCTGAAGCTGAGTGATACCTGTTGGGTGACCAGTGATTTTTCGAGCGAGTGGGACGAAGTAAAACTCGTAGACTGGCAGAAGAAGAGACATGAAAATTAGGGGAATCACTGGTATTGAAGCTGAAGGAACTTTGAAAGATCCCAAATGGGTATTCATGAAATATCCTTGAAGTACTGAATATGTCTGCATCTGTGCCATGCACGTGTTCATTATAACTGTACTCAGAATAATTGGGAGCATCCTGATGAGTATTTTGACTTCTTCTACTTGTGTTACTGTGCATACTTTCCATGGATCTGGAGCTCTCTCTTCTCGAACACTAGCAGCCCTCCCTCCTCGAACACTAGCTGCTTTGTCTAACAGCCTGTATCATTACAAGTATTTGAGGTCAAAAATGTTCTGATTTATACACTCCTCTTGGATTGGGGATAAACTTTCATTTTTACTTGCTCTTTTGACATGTTTCATTCTTAAATTTGGTGCATTAGGATACTTTAATTGTCGAGCTACCTGAATTGGCTAGTATGTGAAATTGCATCTTTGTCATCAGTCTCGTATAACTCACTGGGATTTTCTGGTAGCGGTACATTTCTGTTACGTATTGCAGCAACTATAACCTGGAAAAACATGTTGATAATGGTTACGAACATGTAAAATTATTGTATTTATTATTTTTTTGGGAAGAAGGGAACTTTCAAGTAGTTAAATGAAACAAATTAAGGAAGAGAAAAACCTGAGATATCTTGACCAGGGGGCTGGTGCTTTGGGATGGAAGGCGATAGAAAGGCTTTCCAAGTGCTAGAACCACCATACCAATAGAAGTAGTAATTAGAGATATCAAAAATCCCCAGTGCCAACCTTTGTTCATAGCTACCCAAACCACAATAGTAACACCTATAATTGATCCTATGGTTACACTGAATTGATAGGAGTTGAAATAGCTTGCAAGTGCCTTTGCTTCCTTTTCATCCTTTTGATCAAATTGATCAGCACCAAGTGCAGCAACTGATCCTTTAACTCCACCAGCACCTACTGCCAAAAGGAAGATGGTGCAATAGAACATGATAGTTTTACCACCTCTTACACAACTTGATTTGTCGCAGGGATCAGGCTGCAACTTATTTGAATCTGCTTGGACAAAAAGTAAAAGCAATCCCTGTAGGGAAAACACCAATTATTGAGGAGGAAAGATAGATAAAAATGTGCTATTTAGAGTTAGAATTCATGTTATTGTTCTTTACCAAAACTTCCAAGATGCCAAATGATAAGCATGTGTAAAGTCTGTTCAAGTAAGTGTCTGATATAAAACCGCCAAAGATTGTGAGCAAGAAAGTTGACCCCAGGAAATTGGTGAGGGTGTTTGCAGAAGCGGATAGACCAAATTGCATCACAAAGTGAAAGTAAAGAACCAATGATGACATATTCGCCACAAATCCAATGTTCTCGAGAGTTATCAAAGCTAGCAGAAAACAAGAAAGGAAAAGGAAACAATTAATCTTCATGTTAACCAGTGAGAGCCATCAATAGGTCATATGTTCTGATCATGCACACTCACCTAGTACAAATATGCAAGCCCTGAATCCACCTTTCTTCTTTGTCATTGAACTCACTAAGGATTGAACATTCTCTGCATCCTGCAGTAGTAAGCAACTGATGTTAAATACTGTTAACGAGTGATGCATATCATACTAAGTTAGCGTTGGAGTAAAGTACTCATTCAATTCTTAGCACAGATAAACCATACCATCTTTCAAGAGCCAAAGACCAAGGAAGATTGATGAATTCAAATGCCTGATGACGATGAAAAAACAGCCTTTTCAGCTGCCTATATATATATTGCACCATGGATTAGATTTGCAGAAACTTAGTCGTGGAGAATCATTCTAATGTTTAAGTCCCTTTTGACTTTCTGTCCCTTTCCTGCAACCTTGGATTTATGCTCTAACTTAGTTGAATCAACTCTAGACAAAATAAATTATCATTTCCTTGATTCCATGTGGAGGTAAAATGTTTTATACGAGTATCCTTTGCTAAACATTTAACCCCAACGTTACTAATAAAATACTAAGACTTCTTTTGATTCCTTTTGATGCAAATTGATACATCTCAAACAAATGTTGACATTTTCAACTAATTACTTCCAATCAAATACTAAGGTTTCTGAAAGGGATAATTTTAGAAATCTCCCTTGAGGTCTCTGACAATTTCACTTGGCTCCCCTCAGATTTAAGAAATTACACTTACCTCCGTTGATATAGTAAAATACCTATAATATCCTCCACTTGGTAGAAAATTTTAAATTTAAGGCAATAAATTTTCAAAACCTAAAAAAAAATTATTTTTTTGTTTCTTGTCTATTTTCGCTCCTCTCTTTTCTAATTAATAAAACCTATTTTCATTATTTTTAGTTTTGTTGATATTAGCAAATTGAAATTACAAAATCAATAGAGGGAATAGATTATGTGTCAAAGTAAAAGCAAATGAATAGACTCACAGTGGTAAAGAAATAAATAATGAAATTGATAGTTGAAATAGAAAGAAGAACTAAAGATGTGAAATTTCTCATATTTTGTTTTTGTAAAAAAGCTTTTATAAAATGTCAATAATTACATAAGAATTTCTTTCATTGGATTAGAAATTTTTTATTATGATTTTATTGGGGAGGTAGAATTTATTCTCTAATTTTAAGATATTAATATTTTTAAACTCATAGGAGGGTTGTAATAGTGGTTTTAGGTCAGATTAAATTGTATTGAAAAAGTATTTGAGCACTAATATTTAATTTGGGGTATAAAATTGGTTGTCAATGAGGTTTGCATCTATTTTTTTATTTATTTTTTTTGCGTGACAAGTATTGATATTGTATATGCAATTTGGAATCTTTTGGACAGTTATTTGATTTTAAAACTTATGTTTGGATGGTTGTTAGGAATTAAACTTGTTGATTTATGCAAAATGTGGAAGAAAATGATTCTTAGTTTTGTACAAAAGGGCAATTTAGGATATTTGAGAGAAAATTTAGGTTGTTAGACCTACATTGTTACTAAACAGTAAAAGTAGGGGAGGTATATGTAATTTTAAAACCTAAGGGGAGCTGTCTATATTTGTTAAAAACCTCAGGGGAGGTTTTGTGAAATTATCCCTTTCTGAAAACAAGAAATACGTGAGTGCAGATTATAGTTACAATTTTATGGTTGACAAAAAATTGAAACATTGGCAAATTTTCTTGGATAAAAAGGAATATTACCGTCACTTGTGGCAATTTTTTTGAACAGTTGTCGTACGAAAGCCACATAGTCACAAAAAATATACAAACAAAATAAATTAAGCTAATCAACTATTAATGTCGTCAAGAAACTGGTAAAATGCTAATTTGGATTATAGGTTTTTATCAAAAAAAATTTTTACGTTTTTCGTGAATACATTTTTTAATTACCTTTTTATCTCACATATATTAAATAGCTATAGTATATTTTTCCACATAAACTCTAAAACATAGTAATCCAAATGGGATCTTAGGTTTTAATTAAAAGGTCAACTGAGGCCTAGTTCATTATCAAGGAGGTTTATTGATTGGTTTTAAGTTTAACAAATAAATTGTTTTTTTTTCCAAGGACAGTATCTCTGACGAAAGAAAACCTTTAGTTTAGGCTTCAAGAATTGGAATTGTCAAATCTAGGCAACATATAAAACTACTAAAAATAAAGTAAAATAGACTCTTTAGTATTATAGAAACGAAGAAGAAGTCATAAATCGGAGATGTAATAGATTAATATAGAAGTCCAAAAAGGACGGCCTTTATTTTTTCATTGTTGGATACAACTAAAAAAAAAAAATCAATCAATGTAAATTTATACACCCCATGACTTATTATAAG